AATCTCTTGTTCCGTATTCAGACGCGTTATCCATTGCGCCGCGAGGCCCCATTGATACTACTGCATAGTATGGCTTCTCTAATTACTCGCTCTCGAACGGATGCCGAAAATTTCCAGAAGAAGCAGGCAATGCGTTGAAATGGAACTGGACAAAGTGTCGACCACGGCAGGATTCGAACCTGCAACCTTCTGCTCCGAAGGCAGACGCGTTATCCATTGCGCCACGCCGCCCCATTGATCCACCTGCATATGATGGCTTCTCTAATTACTCGCTCTCGAACGGATGCCGAAAATTTCCAGAAAAAGCAGGCAAAGCCATGAAATGGAACTGGACAAAGTGTCGACCACGGCAGGATCCGAAAGTGTAATCTCTTGTTCCGTATTCAGACGCGTTATCCATTGCGCCGCGAGGCCCCATTGATCCACCTGCATATGATGGCTTCTCTAATTACTCGCTTTCGAACAGGTGCCAAAAATTTCCAGAAGAAGCAGGCAATGCGATGAAATGGAACTGGACAAAGTGTCAACCACGGCAGGATCCGAAAGTGTAATCTCTTGTTCCGTATTCAGACGCGTTATCCATTGTGCCGCGAGGCCCCATTGATCCAGCTGCATATGATGGCTTCTTCAAATACTTGCAAGCGAATATATGCCGAAAATTCAAATGCTAAGCAGGCAATGCGATGAGTTCGAACTGGACAAAGTGTCGACCACAGCAGGATCCGAAGGTGTAATCTCTTGTTCCGTATTCAGACGCGTTATCCATTGTTCCACGAGGCCCCATTGATACTACTGCATAGTATGGCTTCTCTAATTACTCGCTTTCGAACAGATGCCGAAAATTTCCAGAAGAAGCCAGCAATGAGATGAAATGGAACTGAACAAAGTGTCGACCCCGGCAGGATTCGAACCTNATACTACTGCATAGTATGGCTTCTGTAATTACTCGCTTTCGAACAGATGCCGAAAATTTCCAGACGAAGCAGGCAATGAGATGAAATGGAACTGGACAAAGTGTCGACCCCGGCAGGATCCGAAAGTGTAATCTCTTGTTCCGTATTCAGACGCGTTATCCATTGCGCCACGCGGTCCAGTTGATACTACTGCATAGTATGGCTTCTGTAACTACTCGCTCTCGAATAGATGCCGAAAATTTCCAGAAGAAGCAGGCAATGCGATGAAATGGAACTGCACAAAGTGTCGACCACGGCAGGACCCGAAAGTGTAATCTCTTGTTCCGTATTCAGACGCGCTATCCATTGCGCCACGCGGCTCGATTGATCCAACCGCATATGATGGCTTCTTCAAAAACTCGCAAGCGAATATATGCCTAAAATTCAAATGCTAGGCAGGCAATGCGATGAAATGGAACTGGACAAAGTGTCGACCCCGGCAGGATCCGAAAGTGTAATCTCTTGTTCTGTATTCAGATGAGTTACCCATTGCGCCACGCGGCCCGATTGATCCTACAGCACATTATGGCTTCTCCAAATACTCGCTATCGAATATATGCTGCAAAGTCCAAGACGAAGCAGGCAGTGCGAGGGAATGGAACTGGACAAAAGTGTCGACCACGGCAAGGTCCGAATGTGTAATCTCTTATTCTGTATTCAGATGAGTTACCCATTGCGCCACGCGGCCCGATCGATCCAACTGCATATGATGGCTTCTTCAAATACTCGCAAGCGAATATCTGCCGAAAATTCAAAGGCGAAGCAGGCAATGCGATGAAATGGATCTGGACAAAGTGTCGACCACGGCAGGATTCTAACCTGCAATCTTCTGCTCCGAAGGCAGACGCGTTATCCATTGCGCCACGCGGTCCAATTGATACTACTGCAAAGTATGGCTTCTCTAAGTACTCGCTAGCGAATAGATGCCGAAATTTCCCAGACGAAGCAGGCAATGCGATGAAATGGATCTGGACAAAGTGTCGACCCCGGCAGGATTCGAAAGTGTAACCTCTTGTTCCGTATTCAGACGCGTTATCCATTGTGACACGAGGGCCCATTGATACTACTGCAAAGTATGGCTTCTCTAAGAACTTGCTAGCGAATAGACTCCGAAATTTCCCAGACGAAGCAGGCAATGCGACTAAACGGGCCTGCACAAAAGCGTCGACCACCGCAGGATCCGAAAGTGTAATCTCTTGCTCCGTATTCAGACGCGTTATCCATTGTGCCGCGAGGCCCCATTGATACTACTGCATAGTATGGCTTCTGTAATTGCTCGCTTTCGAACAGATGCCGAAAATTTCCAGACGAAGCAGGCAATGCGATGAAATGGAACTGGACAAAGTGTCGACCCCGGCACGATCCGAAAGTGTAATCTCTTGTTCCGTATTCAGACGCGCTATCCATTGCGCCACGCGGCCCGATTGATCCAACTGCATATGATGGCTTCTTCAAATACTCGCAAGCGAATATATGCCGAAAATTCAAATGCTAAGCAGGCAATGCGATGAAATGAAACTGGACAATGCGTCGACCCCGGCAATATTCGAAAGTGTAACCTCTTGTTCCGTATTCAGACGCGTTATCCATTGCGCCACGCGGCCCGATTGGTCCAACTCCTTATTATGGCTTCTTCTAATACTCGCTATCGAAAAGATGCCGAAAATTTCCAGAAGAAGCAGGCAATGCGATGAAATGCAACTGCACAAAGTGTCCACCACGGCATGACCCGAAAGTGTAATCTCTTGTTCCGTATTCAGGCGCGTTATCCGTTGTGCCCCGAGGCCCCAATGATACTACTGCAAAGTATGGCTTCTCTAATTACTCGCTCTCGAACAGATGCCGAAAATTTCCAGAAGAAGCAGGCAATGCGATGAAATGGATCTGGACAAAGCGTCGACCCCGGCAGGATTCGAAAGTGTAACCTCATGTTTCGCATTCAGACGCGTTATCCATTGCGCCACGCGGTCCAATTGATACTACTGCATAGTATGGCTTCTGTAATTACTCGCTTTCGAACAGATGCCGAAAATTCAAATGCTAAGCAGGCAATGCGATGAAATGGAACTGGACAAAAGTGTCGACCCCGGCACGATTCGAACCTGCAATCTTCTGCTCCGAAGGCAGACGCGTTATCCATTGCGCCACGCGGTCCGATTGATCCAACTGCATATGATGGCTTCTTCAAATACTCGCAAGCGAATATATGCCGAAAATTCAAATGCTAAGCAGGCAATGCGATGAAATGGAACTGGACAATGTGTCGACCACGGCAGGATCCGAAAGTGTAATCTCTTGCTCCGTATTCAGACGCGTTATCCATTGTGCCGCGAGGCCCCATTGATACTACTGCATAGTATGGCTTCTCTAATTACTCGCTCTCGAACAGATGCCGAAAATTTTCAGAAAAAGCAGGCANGTGTCGACCACGGCAGGATCCGAAAGTGTAATCTCTTGCTCCGTATTCAGACGCGTTATCCGTTGTGCCGCGAGGCCCCATTGATACTACTGCATAGTATGGCTTCTCTAATTACTCGCTCTCGAACAGATGCCGAAAATTTCCAGAAGAAGCAGGCAAAGCGATGAAATGGAACTGGACAAAGTGTCAACCACGGCAGGATTCGAAAGTGTAATCTCTTCTTCCGTATTCAGACGCGTTATCCATTGTGGCGCGAGGCCCCATTGATGCTACTGCATAGTATGGCTTCCCTAATTACTCGCTAGCGAATAGATGCCGAAATTTCCCAGACGAAGCAGGTAATGCGAAGAAATGGAACTGGACAACGTGTCGACCACGGCAGGATCCGAAAGTGTAACTTCTTGTTCCGTATTCAGACGCGTTATCCATTGCGCCACGCGGTTCAATTGATACTACTGCATAGTATGGCTTCTGTAATTACTCGCTTTCGAACAGGTGCCAAAAATTTCCAGAAGAAGCAGGCAATGCGATGAAATGGAGCTGGACAAAGTGTCGACCCCGGCAGGATTCGAAAGTGCAATTTCTTGTTCCGTATTCAGACGCGTTATCCATTGCGCC